CAAGTCGCCTGTCACTATTGTGAATTTTTTTTCTTTTTTATTTCTAAATCAACATGAGAGAGAGAGACGTAACATAATAAGGATCGCCATTGTTAGGCCACTACTGTGCTCTCACACTAATGACAACTCAGCTAATCACCTTACCCAGATACTGAGGAGGCTGCGATGTCGAAGAAAGTACAACTCTGATTGATCCATCAAATTCGCTGAAGGTTTTCTTACCCACGGGGAACCTTGAGAGACGCGGACAAGTAGTAGTCGAAGAGGCGTAGGCGTCTAGAAAGAATATGGTGGATGGGGAACGGTCTCCCAGCCTAGCTCCTCAATTTGGCGGTGGGTCTCTTTAGCCACATGTGGTCTGGCGTTATCATGGAGGAGGTGCACCGAAGCTCGTCTCGGCCGCTTTTCTCGAAGAGCTTGCGCGAGTTTCTGGAGTTGGGCGGCGTAAACGGTAGCGGTAACCGTATGCCTTGGGCAGAGCAGCTCGTGGTGCAGCATGCCCTTCGAATCCCAGAAGCAGCAGAGGAGGACCTTCTTGGAGTGCAGGTTCGATCTGGGTTGCGTAGGCGGGTCTTCTCCTCGAGGGAGCCACATGGCACGACGTAGGTTGGAATCATAGAGGACCCAGCTTTCATCTCCAGTCACAATATCTTCCAGAAACTCCTTCCGGTTACGGTGTAGAAGGAGGGATCGACAGATGCTCACCCTGGCATACCGCGTGCCATCTGTTAGAGCATGAGGTATCCAATCGCGTGAGGACTTTTCTGTAGCCAAGAGCCTGAAGGCGACTTAGAGCTGTTGTATGGCTGCATCCTAGCCTTGTCGCAATATTGCGCGTGGTAGCCTCTGGATCCTCTCTGATAGGTTCGAGGACGGCGGGAATCTTCTACGCACGGGGGTTAACAGCGAGTTTTGTCTTCGAAGATCGTCTCTCGTTTAGCGAAGCGAGCGAACCAACGGTGGACAGTCCTGACGGTGGTGGTGTCCTCCCCCAATGCACAGTTGATGTTACGGGCGCTGCCGTTCGCTCCAGGTGGCCCGCGGCGCCACTCATAGAAGATGATCACTCGAAGCTGCTCCAGTGAAACTGACATCATAAATAAACACAGGGAGCAGGAGCCTTGATATACCTCTTGTGGAAAAGCTTCGAGAATGTTCTACAACCTTAGCATGTTACGTCATGTTCGAGCTTCGAAGATCAAAAACTGTAGGCTATCTAAAAACACTGACAGGACTTTCTTTCCAACCTATACTTTTTGCTGAACCGCGCTCGTGCCCATAAATAATTCCGCTCCTCTTCATCACATTTTATTCATTGCTAGCACATACAGTCAACTACAACCCATCTCGTAAGGAAAAACGCGTAAAACTCTCAAATGATGCAATGGTGGCGCAAAAGCTCGACATGCACGAAAAGTTGCACACTGCACGTAACCCCGAATTCGGACGCCAGGTTTTTTGAATTTTTCCTTCTTTCAATGACGTTTTTCCTTGTCTTTGTTGTTCTAATATTCTTCTTCGAAAATGGATGTTGTCCAACTGGGAAATGCCATAAGCGATCTGTGAGCCAAGGGTTGCCCACGGACCGCAGGGCGGTGTAACTGTAAGGGACCAATTTTGTTTGTGGTGTTCCTTGAGGGCCCTTGTTGCTTTTTTCCTTCACTGAGAAATTGCTTATCAGCTACTGTTTCATAATTGATCAGCAATTATCCTTGACACTTTTATCGCGGGAGCTGTCTTTAAATGCTCTCTTCTTGCAGATATTTATCCTAGGGTGGTTCGATTTCTCGTGTGCTGTTCAGTTGCTCCCATCTGGACCCACTACGGTCATGATCCCACAAATGATACGGCGTGGAACGAGGCCCTAATTGGAGCGCTGCCAAAGCCTATGTGGGCGCAGTTCGGCGACGGGGGGCATTTTGCTTCCCATCGATGTGTCGACCCATCTACATAGATACCTTTCTTGCGAGTTGGCGACGTTTTACACGGCTATCTAGATGATCGGCTTTTGCTCCAGCCTCACAAGAGTTCACAGAAGTTCCCCAGAGTGAGACTTGTGAATCCGGAAGGTAGTGAAGCAGTTTGATACGCAAAGTACCGCCACACCCCCCCCGTCGTCACGCGAACTGGCCCGTATGGCCTCGTCCCACCAATGGCTATGTTGCAGTCCGCAGCAGTTGGCACGGCTGACTGTTCCTGGGCTGCGTGTTGCAAACTAATGCCCTTTGGCAGAGCGTCCAGTGACTGTACAACGAAACCAGTCTATCAAGACTGCAGAGAAAATTTGAAACGTCCCGAAGAATCCGAATCTCACGCTGGCCAGGCCTTCCTGTCATGGAGTCAGAGTAGAAATGCTAAGGCCATAAAACACCCGACTTTTCATGCATTAACTAATATCTCAATTTCAATTTGGCAACCGATCAGACCTCAGTATGGCAGCACAGTGCTGTTCTTAAGAAAAGATGTGGTGTCGCATCTTTTTTATTCTTTTAACGTTTAAGTGCTCGATGGCAGGGTCCGATCTTCTTATATGGGGACGGCACTTGAGTGAATGCCTGGTCGGCGTGAATTCCAGCTATTTGAGGTCGTGGCAGCGGATCCCCAAAAATCCTATACAGCCTCAACGTGTGATTGTTTCAGCTGGTCAATGCGGAAGGCACCACGTCACAGCTTGGTCAGCTAGGCGTGCTCAAGTCATATGCCGAACACATAAATGAATATGGGCCTCATTACTCTGAACCTGAGGGAACCGGACAGAGCGGCGTCTGTTGGGACCGCGCGGGAGATGCTGTAAGAATCTCTGGGCCTTTGGAGAATTGAGCTGCCTAGGACAAGGATGAAGATCTGTACCTTCAACGCACAAAGCTCACATAGACCTCATATTGAAGATCTGATGGTGCAAGCCAGGAATGTCAAGAACGTGCGCCCCTCGGATCGGGGGGGGGCGGTCCCGCCCGCTGAAATGCTGTATTACGAAACTGCATCAGAACTGTTCCGGGAACAATGCAGGGCGCCGAGGTTTGGAGGTGTGGGCCGGCGTCATGCACGCGGTGTAGCCATTAACATCGATTCGTCGACGAAAATCTGACGACCCACCGGAATGCGGAGACTTTTGCACATTGGAGAGTATTGTTCAACTTCGGCTTTGACACTCTCGTTGCTACGCGCCACATCTAAGCTAGCCGAAGGTTGAGCTCTGGAAGCACCTATATGGGATCTGTGGAGAAATTCTATAGGGAAACCATACTTTCTTCAAAGTCATCGTCGGTGATTTCGACGCCGAGAGGACTTAGAAGAACCGCTGAGAACCGACCTCACGAAACAGAGTAGAGTGAGCAGGGCGAAAGGCCAGGTTTAATCGTGTCTAACCATACCATTCCTGACCCTCACAGTTCCAGAAAGCCGGGTTTCTACTCTCTGCACTGGACATTGGGTCTCCTGGAGGACACTTCCATAGTGAGATCGACCACATCGAAAATTTTGACTGCAGGTGGGGGAGGGCAATAAAAAAGACACTTTTCTTCCTCGACTTTCAAGGCGAAGTAAGTTACACTTTATTGAAATTTTGATTGAAATTTCCACCATCATATTCAACAACACATTGTACACTATCACGAATTCCGCCACAGCCTTCTGACGAACGCCATCGAGAGATTCTGCCACGCGACCGTGATTCGGTGCCTGAGTTCAGCGAGGTCGTTGATTTCTCCGCCACTGTAGACCACCCTGTTGAGCTCCTCCCGAACCCGGTAATCGAGGGGGTTTAGGTCAGGTGGCACACTTGGATATTCCGTCTTCTTCAGGTCTCAACGCCCTTTGATTCCAAGTAGGCGAGAGTTTTCCAACGCCCTTCGATTCCACGTGCTGGCACCCAATCCTGTAGCAGTACGAAGTTTCCAAGATGGTACAGGCGACGACATGAAGGCAGAATATTCCTATTATGTTGGTCGATGTAGCCGTCAGCGTTCACTTTTGGCCCGGGGTCCACGAAGAAAATATCGGTCTTCCCATTCCAGGAACTTCCGGTCCATACCACCAATTCGCGCCTTGGCGACTGTGGTGAAGATGATGCCCTACCGATGTTGGAGGTCTTCCAGATCAAGAGTGCTGGTCCCCAGGTAGCCCTATGACTCCTATGACTCATGCATAAGTTTCGCAGCTGTTTGGAGGTGACGTGAATTCCATAGGCCTTCTCCAGTCAGGCTGCGATTGGAGATGGCTTTTGGTGTACATGAAGGTGATGGACGAGAGCCTGCTCCTGCTTATCGAGGAACATCTTGGGTATTTTCTGCACTGCCAGCAAGAATCTTCAAGTGGTCAGTTAGCCCTGGTACTGGTAGTGGTCAGTGGCCCTGGTACTCGTATCCACGTCTTCTGTCTGGGCTGCGAAAACTTTGCTGATATGTGACTCGGTCGAAGTGTTTTTTTTGCCCCCCCCCCTGTATACCGTTATTGAAAATATCGAGAGCAGTACGAACAGCTTGTTGAACATCTTCACACCGGCGCCAAGAAGCCAGAGGGTTCCAAGATTACCAAGAAGCGTCTATCTCTGGAAACTCTCGAGCTGATTCGCCAACGTGGAGCCGCACGAGCCGCAGGCAATTACCAGCTGACGTCTGAGCTTGCGAAGCTATGCGAAGCAGCTATAAAAGATCTCACGAAGAGAAGAGCAGCAGTACTGGTGGACCTGAATATCTGAAGCATCTTCCGCCAGCTCTCGTAACTGACCACTTGGAGATTCTTGCTAACAGTGCACAAGAGTTTCCGGGCTTCCCGAAGCAGTTTTCAAAATGTAACGAAAAAAAATGAAGTCTCTGAGCTACCTTTTCTTTAGAATCGCTCCCAACAAGTGAACTGCATGTGAAAAAGTATATTTATCGAAATTATTTATGATGCTCAAAGAGTAATCAAAGGCTTCTGTAAAAAAAACCCGATGGACTGAGACTTGCAATATTAAGTATTCAACTACGCAAAATTGGCACATGTTGCATTTGTAGATGTCATTCATGGCATTTTCCATTACATTTGGCAGTGGAGTAAGCTAATTCGGACTGGAGTAGTAGCTTGGCCACTCGTTGCATAGCTTCGGGAAACACCTGATGTTCCTTTTCACGAATCTTTGCATGTAGTGTTTCTTCGTCATCACCTTCGTCTATTTTCACCGCTTCTTGAACGATGATGGCACCGTGGTCGACTTGCTCCTGCAAACAAAAAGATTCAGGGAATAATAGTGCTCTAAGATTTGCCTAAGCATCTAGCTGAGCCGCGTATCCGATATTTGGTCAATTCAAAGGCAGTTGGCACGATAATTTGGT